AGCCCCTGACTTGGGGAAGTGCCCCAAGTGCTTGTATTGGGTCTAGTACCCATTGGACGATCAGGCCTGTGTTTTCCAAGGTGCGCAGAGCCAGAAGTGAGTCCAGAGCCTTGGATGGTGGCAGCGGGAACCCCAGGCTAGCGGGTGTGCTCCAGGGAAGGGGTCGGCCGGACGGGAGGCACCCCAGGGAGGCACTCGGAGCCTGGACGGTGGTCGGGGGCAGGGAGGTGGGCGGCTCAACGCAGGAGCGCCCCCTACTGGCCCGCCACAGCCCCAACAACAGCTCCACCGGGCTGGGGAACTCCGGGCGGTGGGAACCCCCTACTGGCCCGCCCCAGTTTGGATAGAGACGATCCTGCTCGGAGCAGGCACTGGACTATCTGGAGGGTCCTGCCCGCCCTGCTCTTCCTTGAGTCTGTGGAGGTCTTCCCTACTCTGCTTCCCTGGGCAGGTTGCTGCTGATCCCCCCACAACAGGGAGTGCATCCCTGGGATCAGGGGACCAGCACTAAAATGTCCCATGCTCCATGGGGCCATCCTAGGGGCTATTTACAGATAAATAGGGACTCTCTTCTGCTTTGAAGCAGAGACCTCTGAGCTGCAGCTGAGCAGCCCCCACCTCTGCTGCCCCATGGAGTCACCCCTGACCTCCTCCTCGCTTCACACATGGCCTCACCTGGGGTCACCCTGCCCCCGCCAGCTCAGCCTGAGCCCAGCCCTCCACATGCACCAGCCCCTTCCCTGGAGGCAGGTGGGAGCTGGGGCTGTGCGGGGTCACGGCTCCATTCACAGTGTCTCTGAGAACAAGAACAAGCCCATCACAAGTAATCAACAGAGTCAAGTGGATGGACCACTGCATCCTGACACATCAGAGCCAGCGCACAGCATGGGCTGCAGCCACCAGCCCCGTCTCCACCAAGCCTGCTGAGAAGGGCCTGCCCTGGCAAAGGAGACGTGGGCTGTGTGTCCTGGCCCACTCCCTGAAGCATGACATGGCTGCATCCACCTCTCCCCTAGATGGCCCTGGGGATGCACTCACCCCCAACCTTGGCAGCTGCAAGGGGTGCCCAGAGGGGTCTGGCACACAGGGTTTCCCCCAGGCCCGCCATGGAGACTGGAGACCCCAGGCAGCTAGTGTTCTGTCTCAGCTCCCGCTTCTGGCTCTTTGCAGCCACTCAGAGGAAGGCAGGGGGTGGGTGATGGGCCTGAGCTGAGCACCACCTGTCCCTGTGGTGCATGCCAGCAGCAGCAAATGCCTCCTTGGATGCACTAAGCCTGTTCTTGCCATGCTTCCCTATGCCAGCTCACAGGAGAGCAGCACAGAGATGCGTGCTTTGGGTCCCCAGAGCCCACAAGCAGGAGATGCATTAATTATAGCCTTTCCCTGAAAGCCTGCAGGCTACAGCAAAGGGAGGCCCAGGAGGCACTGCCCATGGGCTGTGGCAGGAAGCACACAGGGCTGGAGGGGGCTGCCAGCTAGGATCCTGCTCAGCAGATCCCTTCCCCCCAGGGGCCAGGTGCACAGAGCGGGGTCTCCACAAAGAGCCCATCATGCATAGCTCATGTGCATGCCACTGTGCATGTGCATGCACACATGTTCACACGTGTCTGTGCGTGTGCGTGTGTAGGCACAGCCATCTGTAGCCTGACATGTGTCTGTTCCTTTGCTTGTAACAAAGGCAGCAGCCCCCACCATTCTCATTGTAAATCAACGACAGAGCTGTCAGCCTCAGACATAAAATACTTGCTTCAGTGCAAGGGAGCACGCATCATCTCCCTCCCCCCATCCAAGCTTCCCTCCCTGGAAATGAGCTCACTGTTCTCGCCAAAAGCCATCAATTCTGCATTAATTAAATGCCCCGGGATGGTGGTGACAGTATCTACATGCCTACCCTTAGCACGCTTCCCTGGGGGAACAGGCCAGGGGGAGAGGAAGACTCACCACCCAGCCAGCAAGGCCCAGCCAGCCCCTGGAACAGCTGGAGGAGGGTGAAAGCCTGACATGGGAATGGTGGGGGAGGGGAGCACCCAGTGGGACCAGGAGTTGGGCAGCACCACGGGGTCCCTGGAGACCCCACCGCCATGTCATGGTCCTAATTGAGCTCTGGGATGGAGGTGGCCCAGACACAAAGGGAGCTGCTGGAGCTGCTGAGCTGGGCAGAGATGTGGGCCAGGAGGCCTGGGGGTGGGGGGCTGGGACCGGGTGTGGGGAGGAGAGCCCCGTGGGGTGTGGTTAGGGGCTGGAGTCAGGGCTGGGTGCAGGAGAAGGACACGGGGCTGGGGTGAGCAGTGGGGTGGAGGGTGGTGGGAATGGCCTG